CCCCCCGGCTGCTCAGATTAAGGGTCGGGTATGTGATTTTAGGAGGGACCCCACTTTATTTTTGTTTTTTTGGTGTTGGGTCCCCTAAAGTGTCGGGTAAGGGGGAACCTTGCACTTTATTTTTTACATCGGGGTTCCCCCCTAATATTCCTACCATTCACATTTTTTATTCTGCTTCACTACCTCTGAGGTAGTGAACAGAATGACTGAACCAAAAAATGAGCTGACCGTTCGGCTATTTACTCTCTGCTGCCTTGGAGAATAGTGGTGAACAGCTGAATGTTCATGTCAGCCAATTAGATGTTGAATCAGCTGAGGTGAAAAGGCTCTTCCCTTAGGTTCGGCCAGGCGAGCTGAGGCTGTCTGCCCTAGCCAACAGGAGGTGAAGTAAGCTGAATGCAGCCGATGTACCGCTAAAAAAAAGCCGTATACTGCTGCACTGAATAGACAAAGAGGCTTCGGCTCTCTTTGGTTCCGCTCGGTTGTTCATTTGGGCAGTTTTAATGTCACCCATTTAGGGGTTAGAGCTTCAATAAATGTGGTGTTAGCACCACATTTGACATATAATTAGAAGAAATGAAAAACAGAATAAAAAAAAAACACACCAAGAAACATTTAAAAAAAAATTGCATTCATAAGCAAAATATTGCCAAATGTCAGAAGAAATCCATATAGCCACCACCCCTTCCACACCAAAAAAAAATGTAATGCTCATGCAGTTAATAATAGTCCATACGGAATGTACTGACACAGTAAACTTATACCAGCTGTACTGGAATATATGTTTGTTCAAACCATTCAGTTTATACAAAGTCTTTGTGTTACTATGTGCATGGATTCTACATGGATAATTATTTCTGATTTTATGATCAGTGCATGTGATCTGAAAGAAAACCACAAAGCAAATAATTAAAGATGAATTGGTATGTCTACTAGCCCCTCTTCTCCACAGCTATGATATCTGCACAAACCTGTGTGCAAACCACTCTGTCGTCTACTATACGAGCAATAAATATTAGAAATAAATATTTAACAACATCTACAAATTTACAATAATAAATGCAACTGGCAAAGGCGCTATGTATTACATATCACTACTCATTTAACAAAAATAAAATCTAAATTATTAAATTGTTTTGAGTTTCAAATGTTTGAGCTCATTGGATCTCTTACGGGGCTATTCACAAAAGGGTGAATAGTTTGGAAAAGGCAGAAGTAGGGAACAATCTTGGACAACAAAGCTGAACCAGAAAGTGAGCTGAATTGGAGAATGTTTCCAAATCAGCTAGTTTGGCTTAGATTGTTCACTTCTCCTGCCTTCTCCAAACTCTTCACCCTTTTGTGAATAACCCTGTTAGTGTAAAATACAATACCAGTGGCTGCCATTAGGTTCCGCGCTTGCTGGGGACTTCACAGCAGCCTTGTAAGTACCTTGTGGTGCCTGTTTACAGTGCTGCCCAGCCGAACATCTCTTTCTCCTCCTTCCACATCCGCCTGCATAGCCATGGTAAAACCCGGCACAGCAGTGGGGAGTCCTGCACCGCCTGCACCCTGGCGAGACCCCCATCAGCCCGTGCAGTCCTGGTGAGACCCACAGCCACCAGCACAGCCCTTGTGAGACACGCACACAGCCCTCGTGAGATGCACAGGCAGCAATGGTGAGAACCGCACGCAGCCCTGGTGAGACCCGCACAGCCATGGCGAGATCACAAGCAGCCCTGGTGAGACCATGCAGCACCAGTGAGACCGGACGCAGTCCTGGTGAGAGCGGACGCAGTCCTAGTGAGACCGCACGCAGCCTTGGTGAAACCCTGCATATTCTCCTGAGACCCCCCCACAGCTCTGGTGAGACCACACCCAGCCCTGGTGAGACCCCAAACATACTTCTGAGACCCCGCTTAGCACTGGTGAGACTACACACAGCCCTGGCGAGACCCTGCACAGCCCTAGTGAGACCGCACACAGCCCTGGTAAGACCACACACGGGCCTGGTAAGATCAAGCACAACCCTGGTGAGACCCCGCACAGCCTCCAGAGCTGCTGCACAGCCCTGGTGAGCAACACAGAGTATGTAGCTTCATATTATTCTGCATTGCTATATAATGTATTGCTTGGATTCATAGTCCTCTATAACTGATGGTATTCTGCGCTGCTGTATAATGTATTGCTGGGATTTATAGTCCCTCTACAGCTTGGAGTCAGTGGCAGAACTACCAGGGTTTCAGCTGTTGAAGCTGAGTTTGGGCCCTGGCGCTCCACCACTGTCCTAAAATTAGTCTGTATTGTTTTAGAAAAACTGTCACATGACACAAAAAAGTATCGGCAATTGGTATTTGCAAGTACTTGAGGGAAAGTATCGATACTCGTACTTGGTCTTGAAAAAATTGTATTGGTGCATCCCTAATAAACAGTATGACAGTAAACGGTCATATCGGTTTTAATTATCCTGTTTAAATGGCCACAATTAACCAAGGCAAATGTGCCAAAAAATTCCAAATGTTTAGACATCTAAAATATATCCACTTGTTTATTGATCACACTGCACTGACATAAGGTATGTACCAAAACCTACACATTTTAGGGGTCACTGTACTCAGGATAAATAGGGAAAATAACAGTGAAAATATTTGTAATGTTATTAACTATACAAAATACATTACACATTAAACACAATAAAATTGCAGTTTCTTCACATTTCAACGATTTCTGTGCTTATAACATATATAATCAGGGTATTTTAAAAGACAAATTAAGAAACAAAGGCCCCATATGTGCTAAAAAGAAGTCTGGTAATGAAGGTTTTGATTACCTCTAGACTTGAAAGGGTTAAAGAAAGTAGAGCCCATGTGGACCATCTATTGCACTGTAGATTTGCTCTAGAAAAGAATATGATCTATATCTTTACACTCCATTAACTGTAGAAGAGTAGTATGATGCTCAGTATCTCATCCATACAGCTCAGGTATACTGTCCCTGAATATATATTGTTTAAGCCTCAGGGAACAGGTTGACATTAATACATGTGGTAAAATACCATAAGGACTTTTTGCTGAGCCAACATTTATAAATAATAGGGTACTCAGCTACTAGCTGAAACTAGGCTGTCAACAAGAGGATCCAGGAAATTTCCACAGAGCCATTAGTTTCATTATA